CTTTGAGACCTCGGGCCTACTAGGACAAACTTCTCTTCAGGTGTGTTTTCATTACATGAATAATGACAGTGATGTAACTGATCAGATTTCCATTTTGTTTTAGCTACCAAGAAATTAATTACCAAATATATGGCACTGGAGTGTATGTCTTATTGTTCTCTTATCTGCCTGTTGTTTCCTCACCTGCTCTTTACATTCTGGCTTAATGTTTTGTTTTTGATTTATGTTTTATTGCATGTATACAATCTCAGAAACTTTGTGTAAAGGACTGGAAAATCAATCAGCCAGTATTCGTTTATCTTAAGGCTGTTCATAATGATGACTGATTTATCCACTGTCATGATGTACTTCTGCCTTGACATAATTTCTCTGTAAATTGACACTAGCAGAGTTGGAAGGGTGTTAATGCAAGTAAAAGCCTTTTAGAAAACCTTGAATTATGACCTTGAATTATGGAACTAAATACCCTGGCTTTGCCACACGACCAGACCACTTGCACTTCAAGTCTTGGAGGACCTTGGTGATCCTTTTACAGGTATGTGGTAGCAGGATCATGGCATTCCAAAGATATCCACACCCTAGTCCTCAGAACATAGCAAAATAGACTTTGCATCCAAATTTAGGCAATTATGGCAAAAGTGTGCAGCTGTGATTAAATTAAGGCCCTTAAGATGTGGAGATAGATTATTCTGGATTATCAGGGTGGATCCAGTCTAATCACATGAATTTTTAAAAGTAGAGAACCTTTCCCAGCCATGTCAGAGGAAGGTTTGACTACTGAAGATAAAGAGAGGGGACATGAACCAAGAAATGTGAGTAGTCTTTAGAAACTGGAAAAGTCTCCCCTAAAGCCTCCATAAAGGAACACAGCCCTGTTGACACTTTGACTCTAGCCCAGTGAGACTTGTGCTGGACTTCTAAGCTACAGAGCTATAAGATGATAACTTTGTGTTGTGGTTTGTTTGTTTGTTTGTTTTTTGAGTTGGAGTATCACTCTATCGCTCAGACTGAAGTGCAGTGGCCGCTCCCAGCCACTGCAGCCTCGACCCACTGGGTGCTGGCGATCCTTCTGCCTCAGCCTTCTGAGTAGCTGGAATTACAGGCACATGCTACCATGCCGGCTGATTTTTTTTTATTTTTTTTTTTTATTATAGAGATGAGGTCTCGCCAAGTTGCCCAGGCGGGTCTCGTTAAGTCACTAAGTTTGTGGTAATTTGTTAATAGCAGCAACAGAAAACTAATGTAAGATATGTTGACCGAATTTTTTTAGTGATTTGGATTTCACTCTCTCATAATGTATTGATACAAGGTAATATGTTATTAACCTGGAACTATGTCTACAAATCCAGAATACAGATGGCATTGCAGAGAGGACTCAAACAAGGAAATCTTTCTCTGGAGGGCTGTGTGACTGAGGAGTCTCCCCTCCATTGAGTGAACCTCATTCAACACCAACAGCCCTCTGACTTCTCTGCCTTTCGGTAACTATTATCCATGCTGCCGTGGAAAGCAGCTCTCCAAGAGGACTTACTCCTCTATCATAGTCAAATATGTGTTGCTGTGGACCAGACGCGGGCGCTCTTTCTATCTCTAACCCTGCCCTGCCCTTAAAGCCTACATCCTCAAGCTGATTGGCAAGGCCCATCACAAGTCCTAAGGGGCTATGTCTGCACCATGTGCTCCGGCACACGTGGGCAGGCCATACAGGAAAGGCGGTGCCCAGGATGTAGGAGAGATACTCAACGCCATGAAGATGCAAATTAAAACCACAACGAATACCGCTGTACACCTATTAGAATGTCTAAAATTAAAAACTCTGACCATAGCAAGGTTGTAGAGGGGAGCAACTGCAACTCATATACCGCTGGTAGGGATGTAAAATGCTACAACCACTTTGGAAAACATTTTGGCAGTTTCTTAAAAAGGTAAACATATACCTATCATTATTTTACTTCTAGGTATATTTACCCAAAAGAAATGAAAACATATGTTGATACAAAGATATATGAGGTCTTTGTAGCTTTAAATATAATAGTCAAAAACAGAAAACAGCCCAAATGCCTGTCTACAGGTGAATGGATAAACAAATTGTGTTTATTCATACTATGAAATAATACTCAGTAATAAAAAAGGAATGAACCGATACACATGCAACACAGAATAATCTCAAAAGTAATTATGCTGAGTGAAAAGAACTAGACAGAGTAAATGCTGTTTACTCCACTGAATAAAACTCTAGATTGGACAAAGTAATCTGTGATGACAGAAAGATCATTGGTTGTCTGGGACTGGCAGAGTGTGAGAGTCAGAAAGGGAGATGGGCAGGAGGAAGGGATTGCCAACTGGCAAGAAGAAACTGTGTGTGGGAAATGTCGGGTATGCCCCTTATCGTGAAAGTGGTGGTGGTTTCAGAGGTATATAAATATGTCAAAGCCAAACTATATACTTTAACTATGTGCTGAGTATTATATGTCAGTTATACCCTTAAAGCTGTTAAAATTTACACTCTTTGGAAGAAACTTAAGGTGTTTTATTCCTTTCCATGGGAATCTAAACAAACTGTCTTTTGCTATTCTTTTATCTTTAAAATATTATTCTATAAGAAAAATTCTCTATTCTTTCTTTATTCTGAGGTTAGAAAATAAAAAACCTCATTCTGCAGACTTAAAAGGGTTCTTACTTTGATCTTAAAAGACATTACAGAAATTTAAAATGTGCCACGAAATTTATAATGAGAAAAAGGAAGTGAGAAGGAATTCCACATTGCTTCAGTAAAATGTCGTGAAGTATGTGAAGCTAAGAGAACCCTGCCTCCAAGATGAACTGAGGAGACGCAATGGAATGGAATAGAAAAAGTGCAACACACTAATGGTTGATAAATATGGATTCTAGTATTTTCCACTTCTAGACATTTCCTTTCAAAAATCTTTTAAGTTCTCTTCACTTTAGTTCCATCTGTTAAATTGTGGTTACAATAACTGCATGACCTACCTTAAATAATGCATGTAGTAAGAGAAGTAGGACCAATGATTTGATATTATCCCTGTTAATTTATTCATATCAGAAAGAAATAGAAAGTTACTATTTCTGCTATAAATTTGCTTTATCATTGCTTCCTCTAGGGTACTTCATGTTTCATTTAAAACATTAGACAACTGAAAGTCATTTTAACATCATTATTTAGTGGAAAAATTTCTGTCACTTTAATTCTGTAATTGCTTTGAAAATTAAGGTTACTTCTAGGGGAACTTGTGAATACCATTTCCTGTTAATTAACCTTAGATGTCACTTTCAGAAACACAATTTTTAATTTTTAACGACTCTGATGCAAATAAAAATTAGACCATAGGTCAAAACATGAAATGCCCTAAACTGAACATTTAAAAAAATTTGCTGTTGACCATTGCCTTACTAGACTCTGGTGTGACCATGTGCTCTTTGAGCTATGACTGTCACCATGTTTCCTAGCTTTGGCCCCCTTCCCCACCTTAGGAAGGTGAATCTCCTCTTTCTCTCTCTCTAATTTACTTTTTAAATAAACTATATTTTCCAATCTTTTAAAAAAAAAACTTGCTGTCGTTCAGGCAAGGGAGAGTGTTTCTCAAACCTGAAAATCAAGCACAACATGGGTGCTTTACTTCAGATAGAATCAAATATGTCTATGAACTAGTTATACATGGAAAGAAGATAATAATGAAGATTTGTATGCATCAGTAGATATTTAGTTACTTGCAAAGCTGTTTTGTAGTATAAAATAATAAAAAAGGTAAAAGCCTATTATTGGCTGGGCCTGGTGGCTCACACCTGTAATCCCAGCACTTTGGGAAGCTGAGGCAGGCAGATTGCATGAGCCCATGAGTTTAAGACTAGCCTGGGCAACATAGCGAGACTTCGTCTTTATGAAAGATTTAAAAAATTAGCTGGGTGTGGTGGTGCACACCTATAGTCTCAGCTACTTGGGATGCTGAGGTGGAAGGATCACCTGAGCCCAGGGGGTTGAGGCTGCCATGAGCTGTGATCGTCGTGATTGTGCACTGCACTCCAGCCTGGGCAACAGAGTGAAACCCCGACTTTAAAAAAGTCCATTGTCATTTTGGCTCATCTGTTCTAAGTGCAATCAGTCAGGTCCATAGCATCTTATAATTCACCTATGGTATATCTCAGATTAAGAGAATATTAAAATAAAGTATAGCTCACTGTTCACATTTGTTCTTAGCATCCATATATAGCTTTCATGGCAGGTTCCAGGTTAATACTTTTACTGCTGTTTCTCCATAGATCACAAAATTGGGAAATCTCCTAGAGTCAAAAGAAGACTGCTGCAGTAGACTCACTGAAGAAAATGACAAGTATCAAAGACATTTAGGTGACTTGATAAATAAGGTACAAATTTGCTTATAGAAATATTTGTGTCTTTTAAAAACTATGTCAGCTATTAAAATAATAGAATTTTAGAGTTAAATAGAATCTGTGAGATGATGTAGTACATTTCTTTTGATCCCTTTTACTCCACACAGCATTGTACAACACCCCCCTTAGCCTTTTATCCGAAAGTTATCAAAGGACAGTGTATGTGTCTATCCATTTTGCTGTAGGAGTGTCTTAGTATTGCTACTTCAATTTCAGCAGGATTCTAAATCTTACCAACTTAATGTTCTAGCTTACCTTTTTAAAACTGTGTTAACTTTAACAATGGACTGTAACCCTTATTTGATACATATAGTACTTGTGTGAAGGCAACTAGATTATGGTTAACTCATGACAGTTGTCCATTTTTTGACACTTTGCTCTTTCTGTATGATGAATAAGGATGTTATAATTCTATTTTTATTTATATTCCTGATCTCAAAATATAAGGAAGATGTTTTGCTTTTGCCTATTGTAAAACTTACATTATTGATACGAGTCAAATAGTTGAACTTGTAGTGGTACAAGAGGGAAAAATTAAATAAAATTCTAGAATTTATCAAAGAATAATTGGTTTTGTTTCTTTTTTCAAGACTATATCATATGAAGAAATTATTGAATGTGCTGATCAAAGGCTCAAAATATCCCACTCCCAGATTGCACAGTAAGTTGGAAAAAGAAATTAATCTTTAATTTTGCGAATATTTACTAATATTTCACTCTGGCTTTTAAGTTCATTTTCTCAGACTTCTAGAAGGAGGAAAAATGTTCAGTTTTATAAATTAAGACCATTCTTCATTAATATAGCTAATTTGCTTAACGACTGGACTACTTGAACAGAGTTAAGCAACCACATTTTCATCTTCTTTTCTTAGATCTCCTTTTGATTTTCAGGGATAATGAAGGAAATAGTAAGAAACATCCCAAAATTTTAGAGGACATTATCAGAGTATTCAGGTAAAGTAACCTTCATTGTTTAGAATTTATTCACAAAAGGTTGCTGACTGTACACCAAATTAAAAATATTCATACAAATATCAAATACTAAACAAACTCTCTCATCAGAATGAGATTCATCTTGAAACACTTCAAAATGTGGGTTCTTAAATTCTCCATAGTTTTCCACTGATTTATTATCCTCATTTCTATTATGGTTTTTCTTCCATCCTTCCCCCAGTATAATTTATGCTGTTCTGGCTATCATGGAAGCTTAAACAGAACTCTAAACTTATGTAGAAAGCACCCCCTAAAATATGGGCTTTGTGTAAGACTAACCACAAGATAATTGAAAGTGCAGGCATTTGTATCTTGGAAAGTTTGCTTTTTTCTAAGTAAAACAAATGTAAAACAATTTTTCCATTTATTCAGACTTATGCAGGCAGGTTTTAAATTTGAAGTGGAGAGGGAATATTGTATGAGGGAGACCTCCAAAAAACCAGAATTATTTTTTGGAGGACGAGCCCCTTGTAGTATAGGCTTCTCCTACTAGGTAAGTGTTCTAGGAACCCATCAACATCAATGTACCAGCTAGCATTGTTGTGAGAGGCTGCATTTGGCTTCAGTGAATTTTTTTTTTTTTGGAGATTCTTTCAACGTGTTTGCTCATTTCATGATGGATGATTTACAAGCACACTTGACCACACCACACTGAGTGTTCAGCAGTTTTGACCAAAACTGGCTTGACTCCCATGCCCCACCCTCCCCATTCACTGAATATCACCCTGAGTGACTTTATTTTGTTTCCCTAGATGAAAAAAAGTCCTCAAAGGGAAACATTTTACTGATGTGTAAGAGATGTAACAAAAAATGACAGAAACACTAAAAGCATCAAAACTGACAAGTTCAAAAACTGTTTTGAGCAGTGAAAAAAGTGTCAATAGGTGTATTGCATCAGATGGAGAGTGCTTTGCAGGTGACTGAAGTTTAAACATGTAAGAATAAATACACAATTTTTTATAAATAAATTTGGTTTTTTTGGTCTCCCCTTGTATTCTCAGGAGATGTAAAATTAGACTCCTCCCCTACTTATAACCAGAAAAGTTCAGCCAATGCTCAATAATCATGGGCTCATGAAATATCAAAATTAAAAATAATTGAAAATAATATAAAGCTATCATATTGGCCATATTTGTTTGGCCCAGTTATTTTTAAAGTTTTTAAAAAATGTATGTATTCAGTTGAATGGTTGAGTCAGTTTTGTTCAAGAAGAGATGTTGCATCTGAATTCTATAAGGTTTATTAAAAGTATTATCAACTGTGTCTGCTTATCAGAATTCTTTTGAATGCATTAAAAAAATACCAATATCCAGGTCCAACTCCTGGATTAAATAAGCTGAAATACCAGGTAGGACCTAGGTATCAGTATACGTCTCAAGCTGTCCAGTTGATTCTAGTGTCTAGGCAGTAGACAACCACTGTTAGATATCATGTGAATTGATTTGCTCTATGTGATCAGGGTTGTGATTTTTAAAAATCAAATCTAGTCAGTTATATCAATGAAGAGAAAGTTTTTCTTCTTCCTGTTTTTATTTCTTTGTTTGTTTGTTTGTTTTTGTAGAGGAAGAGGACTCACTATGTTGCTTAGGCTGATCTTGAACTCCTGGGCTTAAGCAATCCTCTCTCTTTGGCTTCCCAAAGTGCTGAGATTATAGGCATGAGCCACTGCGCCCGGTTTAACATCATTCTAGATGAAAAAAACTTAAACCATCTAGGTACAGAAGGGAGCTTCCTCAATAACATCAAACAGCACCTACAAAAAACCTGTTACTTAATGATGAAAGACTGACTTCGCAAGATCAGGAACAAGACATTTCAGTACATTGACATTGTACTGGAAGTTCTGTCCAGTGCAGTCAGGCAAGAAAAAGAAAAAACATCCAAATTGGACATGAAGAAGCAAAAATGAATTTATTCACAGATGACATGATCATCTACATTGTAAATCTGATGGAATCTATAAGAAAGCTACGACTGTTTAATTGAGATGAACAAGGTTGCAGAAAACAAGATCAATATACAAAAGTATATTGTATTTCTATATACTTGCAATGGACAATCAGAAATTAAATTTAAAAAATTATTGAAAACACCAAAAATATCAACTACATAAGAATAAATTTGACAAAAAGGTGTGAAAGACATGTACACTGAAAAGCACAAAACACTGCTGAAAGTAGAATTAAATAAATGGAGAGGTTTTCCTTTTTCAAGGGTCTAAAGACTCAATATTGTTAAAATTTTTTTGTAGTTTGTTTATAGATTCAGTGCAATTCCAGTCAGAATTCTAGCAGGTTTTTTTTGGTTGTTGTTTTGTTTTGCTTTTAGAAATTGTCAAGCTGATTCTAAACTCATATGGAAATTCAAAAGACTTAGAATAGCCAAAAAAACTCTGATAGAAGGACAAAATGACCCAAAGTTTACCTGTACAATGACCACTTATCTACCTAATCCTGAATTATACTCCACATCTTTAAAATAAATTAATTAATTTAAAAAAATTTAAATTTAGAAAAAGACAAAATGGGAGAGAAACCCTATTTTAAGACTTTCTATAAAGCTATGATAATTAGAGTGTTGCACTGGTATAAAAATAGAAAAAGATCAATGGAACAGACTAGAGAGTCCAGACATAGATCCACACATATATGGACAAGTGATTTTTTTTTTTTTTTTTTTTTTTAGTTGGAGTCTCACTCTGTCACCCAGACTGGAGTGCAATGGCCGCTCCTGGCCACCACAGCCTCGACCTGCTGGGCTCCGGCGATCCTTCCACCTCAGCCTTCCAAGTAGCTGGAAATACAACCATGCGCTACCACGCCCAGCTAATTTTTGATTTATTGTAGAGATGAGGTCTTGTCAAGTTGCCCAGGCGGATCTCGAACCCGCGGGCTCAGGCAATCCACTCACCTCGGCCTCCCAAAGTGCTGGGATTACAGGCTGAGCCACCGAGCCCAGCCGACAAGTGATTTTTGACAAAGGCAAAAAGGCAGTGAAAATAAAGTATAGTCTTTTCAACAAATAGTGCTGAAATAATTAACCATTTAAAAAAATAATTATCTTTGATTTATACTCTCCACAACATACAAAATAAACTGAAAATGGACAATAGGCCTAAATATAAAGGCTAAAACTATACATGAGAAAATTTTTATGACCTTAGGCTAGGCAACAATTTCTTAAATGTTACTAAAAACGATCTATAGAGAAAATTTTGAAAAATTAGACTTTATTAAAATGAAAAATTGCTTTTCTAAGAACACTGTTAACAGATAAAAAGACAAACCACGTATTTGCAAATCGTGTGTCTGACAAAGAACTTCTACCCAGATGTGATGAATTCTTAAAACTAATAAGAAAATACCCCAATGAAAATAGGCAAAGATTTGAAAGATACTTCACCAAGACAATATATGGGTGACAAATAAACACATGAAAATATAATCAACGTCATTATATGCAAATCAAACCACTCATTATACTCCACTCAGTGGTACTATTTTGCTTGCCTAGCTCTCGGTGTACATAGTCATGCCCTCCAAGGAGGATGTCACTGCCTCCACAGAAAACAAGGATTCTATTTACTTAGGCTTAGGTTGCAGCTTTTTGACCTCAGTTCTATACACAGGAGCACTGTGTGAATATATTCCACTGTTGCTTTGTTGCACAATTGGAAAATTTTTTCACTTTCTTTCCTTGGTAGCCCTCTCTTTTAAGAGTTGGACCCATCCTTTTTAACTCTACAGATAAAAAAGGCTTATTCCATACCATATTATCTCTGATAATAAAGCATGATAGACTCAGGCTTTGGGTATTCAGAGGGTCTGTTTAATATTGTCTTCCTGGGTTTGACAACTTCTGTTTATCCTTTGAAAACAAACGCCTGATAACCTCTGAACAAAAAGGTATAGGTTTCAATATACAAGTTATATTCTGGCGTGCATGTTTTATTTTGTCCATGTAATATTTGAAATATTTTTAAATTAATTGCCCAAATTTAACAGGGGAAAAATCTAGATTTCCATCTCCTCTTTAAAAACAAGGAGATCTGACATACTTGCTGTAGCCTTCCCTCATGGCAACATCTGGCAAGAGCTGAGTAGCAGCTTCTTCCTTTAGGCAGGGCCTAGGAGTATACGGGGGGGGGGGGCAAAAAAACTGAGATTATTTTTTGGAGAGTGATCCTCTTATAGTACAGACTTTCCCTGCTAGGTAAGTATTGTAGGAACCTATTGGCATCAGTGTACCAGCTATTGTTGTGAGAGGCTATGTTTGACTTCAGTTAATTCCTTCAACGCATTTGCCCATTTCATAAAGAATGATTTACAAGCACACCCGCCCACACCACACCGAGTGTTCAGCAGTTGTTGACCAAAAATGCACGACTCCAATGCCCTGTCCTCCCTAGTCACTCGATCTTGCCCCAGTGACATTTCTTTGTTTGTTTGTTATCCTGAATAAAAAAAGCCCTCGAAGGGAAATGTTTTGCCGACATGGAAGAGGTGAAACAGAAAAAAGGCAGAAACACTAAAAGGCATTAAAATTGACGAGTTCAAAAACTGTTTTGAGCAGTGGAAAAAGCATCTCAATAGGTGTATTGCGTCACCTATGGAGAATACTTTGAAAGTGACTGAAGTTTAAACATGTAAGAATATATACACAATTTTAAAAATAACCAAATTCTGGGGGTTTTTTTGGTCTCCCCTCATATGCTCTTTGGTTTGTCTGAATCACTATTCAGCTGGCTTCACTCATTTCACATACCAGTCTTACCCTTCCATAGGCATTTGAGTTTTGACCTCTACAATGGAGTTTCATCTTCTCTGACAGTCTGTTTATCCTTTATGGTAGAGGATATGGCCCCCAAAGATATTCCAGTCCTAATCACTAGAACCTGTGAATATTATCTTATATGGCAAAAGAGCCTTTGAGATGTGATTATATCCTGAGTTGGGGAGATTCTTTTGGATTATCCGGGTTAGCCCTTAAATGCAGTCACAAGTGCCCTTTGTCAGAGTGGGATTCAGAGAGAAATTTGATGACAGAAGATGAAGAGGAAGTCTGACAATGGAAGCAGGGGAAGAAAGGGTGAGGTGATGTGGGGCTGTGAGCCCTCTAAGGAACAAGGAGGTCTCCAGCAGCTGTGTCATGCACGACTAGAATTCTCATCTGGAGCCTCAGAAGGGAGTTCATCCCTGTCCACACCTTGATTTCAGTACAGTGAAATTGATTTTGGACTTCTGATCTCCAGAAGAGCAATTGTGTTTTAAGTCACAAAACTTACGGTAATTTGTTCAAGCAGCCACGAGAAACTCACACACCTTCTCTGGGTGGGAAAATGTGTCTGGGGAACACAGTATTTTTTGCCCTCTTAAGGTCAACAAAGGAACCCACTAGTATCTATCTGTCTTGATAAAAAGATGTAAAAATAGAACACAAGTAAATCTCTAGCAGGCCACTTCAGTGTTGTGACCATACTGTAGCATGTCACACATGTTCTCATGTTAAAGCAGTTCCCAGTCAGGGGTTCTGTTTTTAATATGTTACTCCCAGGATCATGTTGGGTTTACTCATACAGAGGAATCCATCCTCTACTTACTATTTGTACATGCAAATAGAAGAGTATCTAAATGCTAGTAAATATTTACTACTATCTGCATCCCTTCTTTACCAGTGGAACCCATAAAGGGGAAAACTAATAACTTGAGCTGCTAGGAAGGAATCCCATTTCTGTACAGTGAGATGGATGAATGATGTATAAATAACTGGATTACTATTTGTATTTACTCAAATCCTCCAGTGAATCTAATAAAATACTAGTCTAGAAAAGTTCATTTTGATTATAAAATGTAATTGTTTCTTCCCTCAGTTTGGAAGAGAGAAATAAATATTTGGAAGATTTAATTAGGAAGCCCAGAGAGAGAGCCAAAAAATCAATGTAAGTTTACCTTTCCTATTATAATTAATAATGTCTTTAACTTTAAAATATATAGCATAATAAATAATGCATTGAAATATTTTTCTTCTCAATTTAAGATAAACAAAAGAAGTTATATGAAAGTACTTTGCATTTTGCCTAGCATAAAATAATTGCTTTATTAATGTTTCTGTAGAACCTGAAATGGAAAGCCAGGTTTCCTGTCCTTGTGGAACATATAATAGTAACTCTAAGGAAGACACTATAAAGATTATGAGCTGAGATTTTATCTACAACAAAACTGTTTGCCCTGCTATGTATTTTATTGACCATATTTTGTTACACTAACATTAAATCTTATAATCTGTTATATTAGAGAGTCTCAATATCTGATGCTATGAGGTATATGCACAAACCCTGTGTAGTTGATTAAGAATATAGTGTAGAGTGTTAAAATGGAACTCTTCCTGGCTCAGTTCCTTAGATGCTAATAAAATAATTACCAGTTCCCAAAGTGAGAGTGAGTTTTCCCCATGTGTGGAGTTTTGGAAGGAAATTATTTCAAAGAACCCATTCCATGACTCCTATCCCTTGGTCAGATCCAAGATACAAAAGTGTGGAAGATTTGAGAAGAGATTTCTTTGAATCTTTCATGTCACGAGCTCCCATCTCTCCCAAGTAATATTGCCTCTTTTACGTAAAGTCTCATGCAGAGTTTCCAGGGAATCATCCAAAGAGCTTTGAAGTGTGCTCCCTAAAAGTTGGGAACACAGAGGACTGGTGACTCTATCATGCCTGAGAAAACTAAGGCAAGCTGTGGCAGCATGACAGAGAGGCTATATTGGGTGGTTTTTCTCCCTGAGCTTGTCAGGACAAAGGACTGGTATGATAACTCCTTAAGAGCCATGAGATGATAGTTGAGTTATCTTGGACTCTGCCCAAGGTGTCCTGAAGGAATACCAGCAGCAAGAAATTGGAGGAGAATGCCAGATTCTTAGGGGCTGATGAAGGAGTAATGAGTGACCACCCGGAAGAGAGATACATCAGCTTGGGTCCAGGGAACTGCAGGACTCAGCAATGGCAAACTCCCAAGAGAAAGAATCAGCCTTAGCCATTTGACAAGCTGAGACTCTGAAACCACCCAGCCAAGTAAGAACTGTCCTCTGGCCTTACTTCTCCTCTCTCCTCCTATAAATAGAGAAGGAGGTGAGCGAAGAGAGAACAGAAACTAACCTCCAAAGGCAGTGGTGCCCACCAGCTACGGGCCTGAGCTGACAAAGAGAAGTCCTGCTTTTGAATGAAGAGTAAAGGATTGATTAGTATTAAGACTGGGCATTCTGCTTACTGAACTGAGACCACTGATGCCTTATAGTGAAGGCTGACTATTACCTTAAAATCAACAACAACAACAACAACAAAAATCACTGGACCTGCTATGTATTCATTCAATAGCAAAGAATAGCTTTTCTAAGTGAAAAAAGCTTAAAGTAGAAAAGGGAGACCAAAATTAAAGTTGTGTTTTGATTCGGTCATGAGTCATGTTTGTTCAACATACTATTGAGTTTTGAAATTCAAGATCCCTTAGCAGATTTAAACTGGTGTTTGCAAAGTGGTAAGTTAACTGCCTTTTTTCCTAATCTGAAAGAATGTGATCTGATGCCTGGCATATCACAAAGGCTCAGTAAATGCTAATTTTAACTGAATATGGGTCTTCTTTGAGTTGCTGAGAAACTATGGAATACTTTTTTTTCTAGAATTATTTCAAAATAAGAGAATTTGAATATAAATGTACATGTGTTTCCATGACTCGTATCCCTTGGCCTCAGGTATTTGTTTACTTATTCTTGGCCAATTTTCACAGTGGAGTTGAGGTCCATTTTTATATATCTAGACTGGTCTTGAAGCAAGGGTGTGAGCTGGGGCAGAAGAACTCCTAAGGCCATCTCCAGCGGGTAAAGTTTATTAGAAAACGCCAGACCGTCATCAGCCTTCAAGACCACCATCTTGGAAGCTTCCAGTTGACCAACTGACTAATTGGCCTCAATACATTCATCATGTGAACAAGCGTTAGACTACCTCTGCATCATCTCAAGATTATGCATTATGGAGCTGCTTTTGCCAGTGGTCTTCAGTAGAAGTAATGGAAAACAAGGGATATAAAAGGGAGCACTTTACTCCTCTTAGATGTCTATTTTTGCTTCTGGTTTGCCATCACTTTCAAAGAAATTTGTTAGGTTTTCAAGCCATAGCCAGAATTGTACCTAAGTAAATATATGAGAATGTCAAATGTAATGATACTGTGGCTTAATATTTTTATTTAAAAATGATCTATATATTATACACTGAAAAGCTTTATCTCAATCTTTGAGGATCCCATAGTACTATCTTAAATGACAGTTTTCCTTTGAAAGTAAGGGAAAAAATATACTAAATAATGGCATACTTGTTCACTATATTCACTATTTTAGTCCACCCCCAACCTCCTTTTTAATATATTTTTTCTATTTCCTACAGACTAAGAAACTTAGAAAATCAATCAAAGTCCATGACTGTGGTAGGTCATCTTGCTGGTCATTATAAAGAATGTTATATTTCCATGTAATTTGACTATAACAAAAAATTAAATATGGGTTCCTGAAGTCATATTTCTGTAATAGCTTGTGCTACAATTGAAAGCCTCTCCCTCTAAACTTGTACAAACCCCTTCACTCCATCTTCACTGTTACTGCTTCATTTCAAGCCTCTCACTTTTCATCTGACCTAATATAGTCATCTCCTGATTGGTGTTTCCACTTCCAGTTTTTTGTTTTTTTGTTTGTTTGTTTTGAGTCAGAGTTGCCCAGGCTGTAGTGCAGTGTCACTCTCACAGCTACTGCAGCCTTGACCTGCTAGGCTCAGCGATCCTTCTGCCTCAGCCTTCCAAGTTGCTGGAACTACAAGTGTATGCCACCAAGCCCGGCTAATTTTTACATTTATTGTCGAGACAAGGTCTCACCAAGTTGTCCAGACTGGTCTGGAACCCCTGGGCTCAGGCAGTCCTCTTGCCTCAGCCTCCCAAAGTGCTGGAATTACAGTCATGAACCACCACACCCAGTAGACTTCAATTTTACTCCTCTTCATTCTATCCTCCACAGAGTCAACAGAATGATCTTTCAAAGGCAAAATATGATTATTCTCCTGCCCTGCATTAAACCCTTTAATGGTTCACAATCTCATTCTGGATCAAATCCCAGCTCTTTAGTGTGGCATGCAAGGTTCTCCAAGGTCTAGCTCTTGCCTTCCTATCCAGTCTTATTGTTCACTCCTTCTCATCATACAGTCAGCCATGTCTAACCACTTACAGTTTTCTAAACATGCTATTTCTTTTTTTTTCTTTTATTTTTAGTTGACTTATTAATTGTACATATTTATGGGTTACAGTGATATTTTGATACATGTATGCAATGTATGATGACCAAATCAGAATAGTTAGCAAACCTGTCACCTCAGACATTCATAATTTATTTGTCTTTCAAAATCCTGTCTTCCAGCTATTTAAACATACACAATAAATTACTGTTAACTATAGTCACCCTACAGCGCTATAGTACTAGAATGTATGTCTCCTATCTAGCTATAATTTTGTATTAATCAACCTCCCCCATCCTCCCCTCCTTTCCACTCTTCTCAGCCTCTAGTAACTATAATTCTACCCACTGCTTCTGTGTGTTCTGTTATTTCTCTGCCTTCCTGTTATTGCCCACCCAGCTTCTCCTGCCTGGTATGTTCATCCCCAGCACCTTTTCTCCCACTTCATTTCCCACCTCACCCACACCTGCTAGTTCAAGCTGTGTCTCCTCTCTGAAGCCTGTCCCTCCCAATCTCCCCAGTGGAATGGTCTTGCTTCCTCCCATGCGCCCACACTGTACCCTTTGACTTTAATAACACCTATAATGTCATCACAATTCTCTGCTTATACGTCCCTTGACTTGACTAGGACTCTCTTAGTGCAGGAATTATCTTATATCCATTTTGCTGTCCTCAAGTACCTACCCCATAATAGGTACTAAACAGGAGTGAATGTCAGTTAGACTTGGGACCCAGGACCAATGCTACACTAGCTGGGGTGATATCAAATAAAAACAGTTGCTGCTCCCTCTGTCCCACCCCAGACCATGGGTATGTATTTATAAACACTGTTTGTGACATAGCTTCGTGGAAGAGGGGGACAATCAATAGGGCATATCTCTATACGTACCCAGAGACCCAGCTTTTCTAATAGTTGAATTGTGAGGATACCTTAATGCCATTAATTTTTAGTTAGACTTAATTCAGATTCTTTTTTCTACATTCTGCCTGCTGCCAACCAAACTGAGAGAGATGAAACTCAACCAACCTTGTTCCTAATAACATTCCTTAGTGGGAGAAAGGCTGAAACAAACGTCCTTCCTGTGAACAAGCAAACATTTTCTACTTTAACATAAACAGATGAACACTGTGGCTTATTTTCCAAATATCTTCACAGAATACCACTCCTGTATTATCAGGCAGCCTTCTCCTATTAACAACCAAATATTAAAAGACACTAACTCTGAAACTCTTTAGAATTAAAGTCCAGTTGAAAGGAGAAGACTGGTCCCTTAAGACCTCATCCTTGGCCGGGTGAAGTGGCTCATGCCTGTAATCCCAGCACTTTGGTAGGTGGAGGAGAGAGGATTGCCTGAGTCCAGGGGTTCAAGACCAAGCTGGGCAACTTGGCGAGACCTTGTCTCTATAATAAATCAAAAAATTAGCGAGGCGTGGTGGCACATGCCTGTAGTTCCAGCTACTTGGAAGGCTGAGGTAGAAGGATTTCCTTAGCCCAGCAGGTTGAGGCTGTGATGGCCATGAGTGTGCCACTGCACGTCAGAAAAAAAAAACAACAAAATAGCCGGGCGTGGTACCGCACGTCTGTAGTTCCAGCTACCTAGAAGGTTGAGGCAGAAGGATCGCCGGAGCCCAGCAGGTTGACTCTGGAGTGGTCGTGAGCATGCTTGCCACTGCACTCCAGCCTGGGTGAAAGAGTGAGACTCCAACACAACAACAACAACAACAACAACAAAACAACCCAAAAAAACCTCTTCCTTACAATTTTCACCTTATTATAGTTTGAGAAATTAGTTCTGAATTTAAACAAAGCAGCTGGAGACAGCTGCTTTTGTGAGATGCATAAGAAAAATAAATGTAAGCCGGGCTCGGTGGCTCAGCCTGTAATCCTGCACCTTGGGAGGCTGAGGTGAGTGGATTGCCCTGAGCCCGTGGGTTCGAGACCCGCCTGGGCAACTTGGCGAGACCTCATCTCTACAATAAAAAAAAAAAAAAAAAAATTAGCCGGGTGTGGTAGCGCGCGCCTATAGTTCCAGCTACTTGGAAGGCTGAGGCAGAAGGATCGCCAGAGTCTAGCAGGTCGAGGCTGCGGTGGTCAGGAGTGGCCACTGCACTTCAGTCTGGGCAACAGAGTGAGACTCCAACTCCAAAAAAAAAAAGAAAAAGAAAAGAAAAATAAATGTATATAACATACATATTATTCTTTTGATGAATCCTAGAAGCTAGTGTAACTATTGATCGTGATATACCTTGAATGAAAGGGAAGAAATTATTTTATCTCACCAAAGTTAATTTTGTACTTAAGATAGTCAGGTAAGTACAAGAAGAATACATATTCAGAATCTGGTCTTGAAGGAAGTGCTGAATAAATAAGAGTTATTGACTGAGGACAGTGGCTCATACCTGCAATCTCAGTATTTTGAGAGGCGAGGCAGGGTAATTGTTTGAGCTCACGAGTTCAAGATGAGCCTGGGCAATGTAGTAAGACTTCATCTCTACAAAAAATTAAAAAATTAGCCAGGCTTGGTGGCACTTACCTGTAGTTCCAGATTCTTGGGAAGCTGAGGCCAAAGGATCGATCGTCTGAGCCCAGGAGGTTGAAGTTGTAGTGAGCTGTGATCGTACTACTGCACTCCAGCCTGGTTGACAGAATGAGACCCAGATAATGATAATAATAATAATAATAGTTATTAGTATCACTGTTATTTTTGTTGAGGGATTCTGTAAGATAGGACTTATATGAATTTTGAAATAAAATTTGTTAATTTCTCAAATTCAAAAAGTTGGAATATAACATATGACAAATTCAACCATTTAACCATGAGAAATGCGCAGTGAGTTGCAACTATAATTAAGCATTGAAAACTTTGGCACATATTCAAGTTTTAAAAAGGGATGATAATGATGATTGTTATTATTTTCAAGGGATCCTCTAGGGAAAATTAAAATATAATTGGAGAAAGATAACTAACTATTAAGATAAAGATGGGTAACGCAGCATCCGGAATCTGCACGTGAATGTGCTGAAACAGGTGGAAAGGAAACATTAACACGGGTTGTCTAAAACAGGACTATGTGTATAAGTGCTATATTCAACATGTGTGTCATGGACATCTGTGCTCTTTTGCCTGCAGGTTGTCTCAGAATGAATGTGCCTGGTTTGGCGTATGGCTCAAGGATGCAGAGTTAAGGCCCATTTCTTTCAATAAATATTGAATGATTTTCAATCAACTATGTGACAGGCTCTGTGTCAGGTGCCAAGGATACAAAAAAAAAAATGAGGTGAAGATCATAGGGAGGAGAGAGATAAGTAAACTGTTCTAGAACAGTGTATAGGTGTAGCTGTGAGAGGAAATGGTCCTGGACTATGTAGAAAATCTCTGGGAGGATTTTGCAGAAATGATGACACCCGGGCTAGATCTTCCCAGCTGACTGAGTATTCCCCAGGCGGAAGAGGAAGGGAAGAGCACACTCAAGGCATGGAGGCCTGAGATGCCCTGTTACACTCCCTGAACTACAAATCTAAAACTCAAGTTCTTCACAGGGTAAGAGATGACGATCATGAAGAGCATTAGATACCATGCTAAGAAATTTGAACTTATCCTGATGAGAGGCTCTAAAGGATTTAAAGTAGAGGTTTTGGGTGGGCATTTTTGAAAAATAATTTTAGCAGTGACAGAAAGGGCAGGTCGATGATGGGTGATGCTAGGATCAGGAGTACCAGGTAAGCTACTGTTACAGCACTGTAGGCAAGAAAAACCAAGACCAGGAACTAAGTAGTGGCAGTAGAAGTATGTGGATGCTAGTGATTTCAAAGGTGAAAAAAGGGAAAGCTTGTGGACATTGGTTAGCTATGGGAATGAAGAGGGAGGAGTCTAGGAAGTCTAGCAGAGCTCTGGGTGGATGGTAGCCACCTTAACAGAGGTAGAGAAGACAAGAGGAACAGCTGGTTTGTGGGAGAGACATGATGAGTTTGAGATTGCTGTGTAGAATCCATGTGGCGATATTTAATAAGCAGTTACATATATGCTGAGAAGCCTCCAGTGGTCAGGAAGGGAAATGAAGATAAAGGAGAGAGCAGGGATCACTGATGAAGCAAGGTATCAGGGGAGAAAGAAGGGATTGTGTTTATCCACTGCACAGCCTCAGCACAGGGTCACTTCTTCTGAGGCCGGAAGACAGGAAATCGGGTCAGGCACGTCCAGGGCGATTATGAGCATGGTTGGAAGGGTTACTCTCTTCTTGTCGAAGGGAGTTTGAAGGTAGAGGCAAACGCTGAAAATAGCCACAGCTTCTGCCTTCACAGAGCAAAACTTTGGCCCCTGCCACAGAGATAGCTGGGGTTTCCCCTCCCCTCCTGATTGCTGTAGACTTACTGATGTTTCTTTCCTTTCCTCTGGTCCCTTTAGTCTCTTATCCCCTTGACTTTGACACATTGTATCTCTTTGAGGACTTGCCCCATAAATCATTTTTACCCTCTCACACCTTACTTCGTAACTCTATTGAATTCTTGCCCTATCATTTAAAAAATCCTTTCTGCAACCCTCTTCTAAAGCTATCATGGTTCCTCTCTTTTCACTCCCCATTATACCTTCCAAAAGTCTGTTATTTACAATTTACAAAGCACTTTCACGTATTACCCTAGTTAAGTAGACTATCTAAACTCATTGTGTTTCTAATAGCAATGTTCCCATATTGCCAACTTTTACTGTTCCATAACCGGGCTTTGGCCCCAAATTATTTACGTGCCTTTGCCCACATTGTTTCCTTTTCCAGGAATGCCCTTTCCTGCTCACTAAACATCCTCCCTTCTCCACCTCCACTACTCAGTTCCTCATATTTAGAACATTTACATCAGCTGGGCATGGTGGCTCATGCCTGTAATCCCAGTACTTTAGAAGGCTGAGGTGGAAGAATTGCTTGAAGCTGGGAATTTGAGACCAGCTGGAGCAACAAAGCAAAACCTCAATTCCACAAACTTTTTTTTTTTAAAGTAGCAAGGTATGCTGATGCACAGTGCACACCTATAGTCCCAGCTACTTGGGAGGCTGG